ATAAAGTTGTAATCTCTGTTTGTTTGTTTGTCCGATCATAACTCAAGAACCCCTGGACCAATTGGTCTCAAATTTTGATTGGGGAACTCAGCACAGCCACTGGAACATTCTTGGCTTGAAATTCTAAGTTGAAGGGGTCGAACACAATTTTTACCAAGTGCGGGTAAACGTAGGGAGTAACTATGAGTAACCCGGGCAACGCTGGGTCCCAAGCTAATTGTTAATGATATTAAGTAGTTATGGTAAATGAACACTGAATAATTTTTGCATATTTCAGGGATAGTTTAAAGCAGGAGATGAAACTATTAAAACATGAAGTAGAACTACTTCCTAAAGATAGAAGAAAGGACGCCCTTAGGTAATTCTAGCATACATTTATTCATTCATTTGATCATCCTTTCTTACTTTCCTCTATCTTTTCTTTTATTCATTAGTTCATCCTTTCTTACTTTCCTCTATCTTTTCTTTTATTCATTAGTTTATCCTTTCTTACTTTCCTCTATCTTTTCTTTTATTCATTTGTCTTTTTATCCTTTTTATCTTCCTGTCTTTCCTGTTATTTTTTTTATAAAATTCAAATGGCACAAAGACTTGTTATAATTCTTTCGAAAAACAGCACCAAAAATGGACGGGCAAAAGAAGTAAGATCAACGGACAAAAAACTGATGTGCGGGTGAAGAAAGGAGAAAAAAGTACATATAAAATTGTGAACTTTGCTTAAAACCATAAATTTTATGAAAAAAAATGTTAAAATAAGATTTTTTAAAAATCATTTCATAAATTCATCTTATTTTTTTCTTTAACTATTCTTTCTTTCAGCTTTCCATCCTTTCATACTTTTATTCATCCTCTCTTTCCATTTTTAATACTTTTATTTATCAATTCTTATCTTTCTTTTCCTCCTTTTCTTCTCTCTTCTTTCCATTCTTTCATTGAATTGTTTTTCCATTTGTTCCTCCTTTTCTTCTCAATTCTTTCCATTCTTTCTTTGAATTGTTTTTCCACCTTTTCCTTCTTTTCTTCTCAATTCTTTCCATTCGTTCTTTGAATTGTTTTTCCACCTTTTCCTTCTTTTCTTCTCTCTTCTTTCCATTCTTTCTTTGAATTGTTTTTCCATTTTTTCCTTCTTTTCTTCTCTCTTCTTTCTATTCTTTCTTTGAATTGTTTTTCCACCTTTTCCTTCTTTTCTTCTCTCTTCTGTCCATTCAATGGATGGTCAATTCTTTAATCAATTTATTCTTTCGGTAGGATTCGAAAAGACCAGCTTGAACGTGAACAAGTAGACAGAGAGCGAGGGTTTGTGTCTAAATGAAAGCCATGAAAGTGCAATGAAGAGACTATCAGATACACATAAAGAAAGAATAGCGCTTCTAGATCGACAGTTCTTACAACAAAAACAACAGCTTATGAGAGCAAGAGAGGTGTAGATTAATGATTTTATAATTATGGAATGGATGGCAGAATTAATTAAATGGATGAAATTGATGAAATTGATGAAATTGATGAAATTGATGAAATTGATGAATTTGATGAATTTGATGAAATTGATGAAATCGATGAAATTGATGAAATGGGTGAATTGGATGAAATAGATGAAATGGATGAAATGGATGAAATGGATGAAATGGATGAAATGGATGAAATGGATGAAATGGATGAAATGGATGAAATGGAAATGGAAATTTAAAAAGGACATAAGTATTGATGCTACAGACAAAACGCAAAGGGGGAAAGCACAAACTTATGGAAAATGTGAAAAATTGCTAAAAATTGCGAAATGGGTTATCGGTTATCGGTTATCGGTTAGCCTCAATTTGCGTTTTTATAAAGAAAGAGGAAATATATACATGATTACGAGTGTATTTATGTTTCTAGATGTATTGTATATAATTGATAAAATTGATAAAATTGATAAAGAAAAAGTTGAACAAATGAATTAGTCTAAAAATGCGTATAAGGATTTATTAATGAATGAATGAATGAATGAATGAATGAATGAATGAATGAATGAATATTAAGGCTGCTATCTGGGAGTTAGAAGAGCGTCAGCTTCATGAGCGTCATCAGCTTGCAAAGCGTCAACTTAAGGAATCAATCAATCAATCAATCAAATAGTCAGTCAGTCAATAAAATATATTTGATCGAGTATTAAAAATAATAGTAAAGATTTCAGAGATTTCCTCCGCGTCAAGTTATTTATCTTAAACCATAAAAATCATTCTATCTGCGACATCTGTATACATATTATCTTGGTTGAGTTAAAGCAAGAATATGCCCTGAAGATGGTTAAGTAAACCGAAAATTTGGCAAAAAGGGTTTTTGTTTCACGGATCTGCGAGTGTTAGATTTAGAAGACTTGTATATCTTAATCTATATATATACAGATAAAGTTGAAACCTCTGTTTGTTTGTCCGACCATAACCCCTTTACCGATTTGTCTCAAATTTTGATTGGGGAACTTGGGAGAACCACGGGAATGATCTTAGCTTAGTTTTGAGATTCTAAGTTTAGTGGGTCCTTTTTATAGGGAAATATTGCTAAAATCGTAGTTAAGACCAAGCGCGGATAAACGGCGGGAGTAACATTGACAACGCTGGGTTCTCAAGCTTAATAAAATGTTGAAATATTTTTCTCAGGTTTCCTCAAACTAAGATCAGATAAAAAAATGGATCGTGTCATCGTGGAATAGTGATTGATTATGATTTGGTTGAATTCAGGATTTATTCTTCCTTCAACGTCATCAGATGCTGGTTCATCATGAGAAGGAGTTGGATCATCTCAAGAGGATGATGGAGAGGAGAGAGGAGGAGNAAATGGAACTTCTAGATTCTAAAATGTTTTTACTTTTTATGCATTTCCTCAAATTTCCCCTAAAACGTAATCTTAATTCTACTTATCTTTTTTGCAAAGAAGTTGAGTTTTTGAAACTCAAATTTTGAATCCCTGTATTTTGAATCCCTGTATTTTTTGTAAAGTGTGAAGTTGTGAGCCTTTGATATTTTAAACTTTTTAATAATATAAGAATTTAAAGTTTGAAATTTCAAAGGTTCACACCATCAGGTTGAAAAGATATAGGGATTGAAAATTGCTTTGCGTTGTATGCTTTTCCTCAGATTTATTTATTTTCCTTATTTTTTGTCTATTTGTTTTGATAAAGAATGCTTTGATATGAGTAGTGAGTAAAGTGGCCGAATTTAAAGAATTTGAGCGGCGGTTTAAATTTAAGCCGCGGTTTAAATATGGTTAGTTCCACTTAAAATTGTATCAAATGTTTCAAGATTTATGCCGGCGCTTAATTTGAACCGGGTTTTGGCGGATTTAAACCGCGGCTCAAATTCTTTAAATTCCATCTCTGAATTCATGAAAATAAAGATATATCCTTACAACCATATAACAAAGAACGCAAAATGCAGATAATCTGATCACTATTGAAAGTTTATTTGTTTATTATTTATTCGTACTGCTTATTATATTACATAAGCTCATTAAATTTTCAGGGGTGTTTATTTTTTTGAAAAATAATTTCCTCCCCTGTTTTTTGAAACATTTTTTTTTCACCCAGAAGTTGGGTATATTTACGCTTTATATATGGTTTTTTCGGTAAATTGGGAAAAATAATTTTAATGTGAAACTAATAAAATATTGAGTAAAAAGTATCAAAAATCTTGTTTTTTTATTCCCAGATTTTCAAAAATTATTTCTTAAAATTAGACACCCCTGTAATTTTTCTACTTCTTTTTTTGTTTAGAACCTTGAGAAGAGAGCTTTACCTAAGCGTATACGTGCAGAGATGAAAGCAAGGGAGATGATGTACAGGTACATATCATTATTTATATTAGTTTTATTATTATTATTATTAGTTTTCCCATTCCCATCCCTATTCTCATTCCATTTTTAGTGTTTATTGACTGTCACTCAATTGTACAGTGTACAGTTACATTTTACAATCAACTGTACTGTGTGCAGGTACATTTTGCAATCAACTGTACAGTATACAGGTACATTTTGCAATCAACTCCACAGTGTACAGGTACATTAACATTCAACTGCACAGTGTACAGGTACATTAACATTCAACTGTATAGTGTACAGGTACATTTACAATCAACTGTACAGTGTACAGGTACAATTTATAATCAAATGTACAGTGTAGTTACATTTACACTCAACTGTACAGTGGTACATGTACGTTTTGCAATCAACTGTACAGTGTATAGGTTCATTTTTCAATCAACTGTACAGTGTTCAGGTACATTGTTAATCAACCGTACAGTGTACAGGTACATTTTACAATCAACTGTATAGTGTACAGTTGCATTTTACAATTAACTATACAAGTACATTTTATAATTAATTGTACAGCTCAACTGTACTGCACAGGTACAATGTACAGTGAACAGGTACATTTTACAATCAACTGTACAGTGAAAAGGTACATTTAGCAATCAACTGTACAGTGTACAGGTACATTTTACAGTCAACTGTACAGTGTACAGTTACATTTTACAATCAACTGTACAGTGTACAAGTACATTGACATTCAACTGTACAGTGTGCACTGTACAGGTACATTTACCATCAACTGTACAGTGTACATTACATTTTATAATCAACTGTACAGTGTACAGGTACATTTACAATCAACTGTACAGTGTACAGGTACATTTACAATCAACCGTACAGTGTACAGGTACATTTTACAATCAACTGTACAGTGTACAGGTACATTTACAATCAACTCTACAGTGTACAGGTACATTAACATTCAACTGTACAGTGTACAGGTACATTAACATTCAACTGTATAGTGTACAGGTACATTTACAATCAACTGCACAGTGTACAGGTACAATTTATAATCAAATGTACAGTGTAGTTACATTTACACTCAAATGTACAGTGGTACATGTACATTTTGCAATCAACTGTACAGTGTATAGGTTCATTTTGCAATCAACTGTACAGTGTTCAGGTACATTGTTAATCAACCGTACAGTGTACAGGTACATTTTACAATCAACTGTATAGTGTACAGGTACATTTTATAATTAACTATACAAGTACATTTTATAATTAACTGTACAGCTCAACTGTACTGCACAGGTACAATTTACAATCAACTGTACTTGTAAACTTTACACTCAACTGTACAGGTACACTTTACACTCAACTGTACTGGTAAACTGTAAATTTAGCTGTTCAGGTACACTTTCTATTCAACTGTATTTTGACTGTACACTCAACTGTACATCCTAATTATCTAATTACCCCCTAACACTGAACACTGTGATTTGGCTGTACACCTAACCCTGGACTAATCATTATTCAAACTAAAAAGCTGTACAACAGTGTGTACACATACCATTCAATTATCTGTACACTGAACGATACATTTAGCTGTACAGTGAACAATAAACTATGTTTTTAACTGTGCGCTGGATTAATTAACTATAACCATCAAACTTTATACTAAACTGTTCACTAGTATTTTAACTATAAACGAAAGGTACTCAAGGTTGTACAAGTGTACAATGTCTATGTTCAGGGAGTCTCTGCGTATATCCGTGACGAACCTGCACGAGGCTATCACTCCTACGGAGGAGAAGGATAGGTTCAAGAAGTTTCAGGAGGCGGAGAAGAAGAGATATAGGGCAGAGCAACAGAGGTATTATTAGGCCTGGTATTCAGGTTGCTTCGTGCCCCTCGTCTAGCAACAATTTAAGCATTTCTATATTGGTTTACAAGCGGCCATTTTTCTTCCTATTTGCAAAGCTAAAATTTTTCGGATTTTTCTGTATACATTGATAGATTTATAAAATAAAAATCCGCTAAAATTTGTTACTTTACCCATGCATAAACCTTTCCTGTGGTTATGTCAGTTGCCACCAAAACAAATTGGCCGTTTTTACGTCAATTGGACACAGACAAACAGCCATACAGCCAAACAAGCCAATTTTATGCATAGATATTAGCACTATTTATTGCGTACCACAAAGTACTTTATGTACTATGTAGTGTGTCTGGTAAACGCCTTTTCAATATTTTCTTGGTATTCACAATTACCAAAAGTTTATTGTCTGATAAAAACGTTGCCAATATTCTGTTGTCGGGTAAAACTTCACTAAAAGTCTGATTTCTGATAAAAAACGTTCCCAGAAGTCTGATTCCTGATAAACACGTTGCCAAAAGTCTGTTGTCTGGTAAAATGTCACTTAAAGTCTGATGTCTGATAAAAACGTTCCCAGAAGTCTGATTTCTGATAAACTCGTTATCATAAGTAGGTGTATTCTGATACCCCAAGTAAGTTGGATTTTATACACATTGAACAAGTCAGTGACAAGCATAAACATTTAGAAGTAATTTTTCTAGTATTTTATGCGATAAGTCTAACTATTTCAAAGGATAATTGTCTCTTATTTCAAAGGATGATTGTCTCTTATTTCAAAGGATAATTGTCTCTTATTTCAAAGGATAATTGTCTCTTATTTCAAAGGATAATTGTCTCTTATTTCATGGGATAATTGTCTCTTATTTAAAAGGATAATTGTCTCGTATTTCAAAGGATAATTGTCTCTTATTTCAAGGGATAATTGTCTCTTATTTCAAAGGATAATTGTCTCTTATTTCAAAGGATAATTGTCTCTTATTTCAAAGGATAATTGTCTCTTATTTCAAAGGAAAATTGTCTCTTATTTCAAGGGATAATTGTCTCTTATTTCAAAGGTTATTTTTTGTTCGGAAACAACAAGGAAAAATAAAAATAATCTGTCTAGGTTTGAGATGAAACATATGAAACAGCTTGAGGAAGCTAGAGCCGGCTCCCAGGCTGCTATCAAGGAGCTTGAGCAGCTCCAGAATGAGAAGAGGAAGATGCTGATGGAGCATGAGACAACTAAGCTCAAGGAGCTGGATGAGAGTTATGCTAGAGAGCTGAAGGAGTGGAAGGCGGAGCTGAAGCCTAGAAAACAGGTAAATATCTCAATAACCCTGCAATGGATGCATAAGACAAATCTAGGAATAAATACAAAATACAAAGCGTAATGATAATAAAAAGAAATGTATTGGTTTTTGTCAATTTCAAATCTGCCAATATCCAAATTTTCTCGAGAAACCTAAATTTACAGTTACTGTAAACTATGCTTAGCTATAAGGTATGTCTAAATCTTTTTCATACATGTTTTGGCTATTTTTAAACAAATTCCTCTTCTTATTTTTTCCCCCAATAAAAATATTTTTTCATATGTTTATGAATATGTTTGTAAATATGATGTTTTAGGGGTAATTGTATTTCACTGTCCTTTCTGGATTTTAACCTTGTATATCATAGTATGTAATTCATATAGAGCTTGTAGATAGAAATTATATAAACTTCATCATTAATATTTATTTGTCAAATTAAAGTTTTTATAAAAAGATCCAGAAAAAATAATGCATATTGGTTTGTGAAGTCTATCTACTTATCCTTGATTATTTAACTTATCCATGTTCTTATATCTATGGTTGTGGGATAATATTTGACAAACAGTGCTTAGGATTTAGATCCATTACGTTAGAGATGCACAATGATTTATCCTGTAAAATAGATGAGAAAAAACAAAATAATATATTTCTGGATGAGAATGGACCCCAAGCACTGCTTGAATAATGTGTATAGTATAGTTTCTTCTTTTACTGTATAGGGATAAGGTTCTGAATATACTAATAATAATATTTTCTCTCAGTATCTTGAAAGTATACTGAGTGAGGAAACTATGGCCCAGGTCAGGTACTACCAGGACCAGGTAGGTGTAGGTCAACCTGCCTGGGCTGAACTACTCCGAGGTCCTACTGAGTTACTGCCTATGCAGGATACAGAAGAACATGATGATATGTCAATCCAGTCAGCTCCTGTAGACCACTACAGCCCCCAAGAAAGCACATGGCAAATAAGCCATCAACGAAGTCAATCTTCTTGTCTTCCCCTCAGTAGGCCAGTATCAACTCCGTCTAACAGTAGAATGCTAACTGCAACACAATCAGCCTCCCCACCCACAAAACAGTTTACACCTGTATCTAGATCTAGTTCAGCATACTCAGGTTCCTCTAGAACATTGGCACCCTCTCCACGATCCTCTCTTAGTAACTCTCCTAGTATGATATCCTACATGTCCAACCATTCATCTAATCCTAGCCTGTTAGGCTCACAACCTTCACTGATACCTCCTTCACCTACTTCTACCCGTCCCCATTCTCTTTATGTTCCATTTGTTGGTTGTGTAGATGCCCCCAGACCACCCCCTGGCCAGGCAGCAAGGGAGATATTAAATGCTATGTCCTATGCCCCTACCCAAGACTCATATTCCCCTGGACCAAGAAGTCCCCCAGTGTCTCCACGACCAAGGTCTAGAAATAACAAACCTCTTCCTCTAATTCCACAATCCCCAAGATTAAGATCTAAGTCCACGAGTCTGGCCTCCCTCCTTGGGTCATCTTCCCCCAGACCCTCTTATAATCAATATGATCTTGCTCCACTCTCTAGATCAAGCTCTTCCCTACAGAACCGGACAGGTTCACCTGTTCCTGCCTTTACATCATCTCCTGTTCCTCCACTGTCACCTCTTGTCTCACCATCAAACCCAATCAATCATTCGGAAAATTCTGCTTTAAAACTAACCCATCCTCCAGTTATCCATCCACCTCCAGACTTGGTCCAAATGACGTCAAGGGACTCCTTCCAATCCCCCACTGGAAAGTTTCACAACTCCTCTCATGAAGTTCAGACAGCTCCCTTAGAGAGCATTAAAGAAACTTCTCCGTTTAGAGCTTCGCCCTAGTCAACTGTAGAGCTTATATCTCCAAATACTTGGAGCTCTTTATGTGCCTGAAATATGCTTTTTAGTTCTAAGACAGCTTGAGATTAGTAATCAAATTACGCAGTAGCTATTTACCAAGCCAGTTTGTCTTCCGGTGCAATTCTTTTCCAACTGCTTCCACATCAGAAAAATTAAAACTCCTCAATAAAAGAATAATTCCATTCGTTTCAAGCATCCAAGATTCCCTCAGTATGAAATCAAGCCTGACATCTTCAGAAAGAACAAAAGTACTATAAAGTCAATCAAGAATTAGAATCCTAGGTTGTTGACCAATCTAGCAATGGTAATTAAGGCATGCACGTTTGTGTTCACCGGTTATTTTACTTTTGATTTATCATGTTTTGTGTTGCTTTGCTTTTAATTTTTTTTAAGCACATGTTATTTTTCTAATACTAGATTTACCTAACCATCATGGTTACTCTATAATCACAAGTTTTCTGTTTATTCAAATATATAGTGCCAGAGCTGTGAACTTTTGTATAAATGAATAAACCTAAGCTAACCTATATGGATTAAACTAATAAGTCGGCCATATCCACAGTGTGACTATTATTTAGTCAGAATTGTTTTCTATAATTAGAAATCTCAAAGTGTTTTCTTTGTTCCAGAACTATGAACCTGTATCCCTTCAAAGGGAGTGTTCGCGAAAAATGAAAGGGGGTATAGGCTTACATCGAAAAATAAGCGCCTTTGATCGCTGCTAATCTTACTCCTATCTCCTTGCGTCTATAAAGAGAAAATTGTTAAAAACAACTCATACCGAAAAACGTAGCGTCCATACAAATTCGGAAAGTTCCAACATTCAACTCTGATTGTAAAATAATCAATTTAATTACAAACAAATCACTCTGATATTACAAACAATAGTCATCGATTATTTTCCGATATAATATAGTTAATATTTCATACTATTTTTAATTTTTTTTTAATAATATTTTGCTTGCGCTGGATTTTCGAATATTTCTGGGAAATATGAAAATGTCGTCTTCATTATAAAAATCCTCGAAACAGGAATAAATGTTTCAAAAGTAACTCTCAGATCATGAAAAATAAGAAAATATTACGGAATATCAACTTTTTACGAATGCGTCGAAAAAATATCGATGACTATTGTTTGTAATATCTGAATGTTTTGTTTGGAATTAAATTGATTTGTTTACGATCCGAGTCGTATATTACAACTTTCTGAATATGCATGGACACTACGTTCTTCGGTATAAGTCGTTTAAACACCTCATTTCATTTTTCGCGAACACTCCCTTTAATTTCAACAATGTTACTTTTGCTTTACTAGTAAATTCATTAAAAATGCATGGTTTTTTTCTATTTCAAAGCTTGCATGTTATTTACAAGGTGGACCTTTTATAATTCTTCACAACTCTTTGATAAAGAATTGTGGTTAGCAAAAAATGTTCACTTTGTCATTTGTTTTACAGGTTTTCCCGATTTTTAATAATACTAATTTGCATGAAACCTTTTTTGAAATAATTATGTTTTTGCATCTTTTAGTTGAATTAATTTTTTATAAAAACTACCTGGGAGATTTTAAAACTTAATTTTTTACTTTAAAGTCTGATGCAAATTTTATTTATAAAAAATCCTAAATATTATTAAACTTTAACATTTAGTTTTTCAATGACATTCTTAAGATCAAAGAATAGTTTCCATGTCTATTAAAAAAACTCCCATGAGAGAAAATTCCAATTTTAAAAGCTGTATTTAAAGAGTCTGTAAGCGTAATTTCAAATTCAACCCGTCTTGCGTGATATCCATGTTTATAATTTGGAAATATTATTGGTTCATTTGGGGTTTCTGCAGAAAACATCTAGAAATCTCTATGAGTCGGTCCGGTTCGGATTAAAATTGACCCTAGTCCACTGTATTGAGGCCAGGGTCGGTCCGGCTCGGATTAAAATTGACCCTAATCCACTATATAGAGGCCAGGGTCGGTCCGGTTCGGATTAAAATTGACCCTAGTTCACTGTATAGAGGCCAGGGTCGGTCCGGTTCGGATTAAAATTGACCCTAGTTCACTGTATTGAGGCCAGGGTCGGTCCGGTTCGGATTAAAATTGACCCTAGTTCACTGTATTGAGGCCAGGGTCGGTCCGGTTCGGATTAAAATTTACCCTAGTCCAATATATGGGTCACTTGAAATAACGCTTACAAGTTACAGTCTCTTTAATATCCAAGTTATAATTTACAAGAACTCCCAATTTTCTAAATTGAATTTAATATTGAATTTGTTCAGATTCTCGAGGATGAATTTCAAAACCAGCTTGAAGAGCAGGAGAGACATTACGGACACTATCTAACCTCGGCTCTACTGGCTGAAAGGAACAGAGTGAGGTATAATAATAACTAGCTCAAGTGCCCGGCGTTGCCCGTGAAAAAAATCCGAATTAGAAAAAAATGGAATTTTAAAAGAAAAAAATATTTCGAATTTTTTAGCCTATGTTACCCCCAGGGTATCCATGGGTTCCCTCAAAAAAAATCAGCCCATTTATTTCAGCTGTTTATCCAGCTATAGCTGACATATAAATATATATTTAAAATTCAGTGATGGTGATGGACCAAACCTCTGTAGAGTAAAAAAGTAGATGTTAGTTCCACATTTATTGAGAATATATTTCGGTCTGGGTTGACCCTCGTCAGTTCTAACGATATAATAACCATCAAAATCGATAAATATATATGTATATATGAGCAAAGAGCTTTATTATATAGATAACAATAATAATAATAATGTATTTCGACATTTAAATTTATAAATATTCTTTTACAATTGGGTCGAGGTCTTAAGGTCTGAGACCGTTAAATGCTTATCCCTGGTAGGTAAAGGGTTACCCACAAAGGATGAGACTGAAAGACGACCCTAAATTTTAAAATATATGGCGACCTTGATTTTTAGTTTCTGCATTTCAAGAGAGTAACCGACTAAGGTAGTTGAACTGAGTATGCAGTGTTGTGGAAAACTTCTTTCGGATTAATTTGAGACATATTAAACTTTTTAAAGATCTGTGTAAATCCTGAGTTTGAGCGCAAACGTATCCACCCCCAAAGTAGGAGTTTTGAACGTCGAATTTGCGCTCAAACTCAGGATTTACATATCTTTAAAAAACACTGCATACTCAGTTCAACTACCTTACATAGCCGGTCACTCCCTTTAAATGAGTATTTTGATGGTTTACTAGATGACTAAGCACAGAAATATGGCAGTTTTGGTCTACAAGGAACCCTAAATGCAAGAAAACGGATTATAGAAATTCCGTTCAATCGTTTCTTAAATTTAATCCTTTGTGGGTGACCCTGTACAAAATTGTACATATGGAGAAAAAGAACTAAATAAGACATAATACATAAAAACAAGAACAAAAAGAATTTGAAATTTTTCTTTCAGTACCTTTCAACATTATCGTTATCAATTGATCTTATGTCTTGCTTTGTTGCAGGGAAAACGGAAGTGACAGTGTTCGATCAAAATCGCGAATATTTTCCGATTCATTCGTCTCTACTTCCGGAAGTGTGGATCGAAGATCCGGTAAATCCGTGGACCGAAAATCCTCTGGCTCAGACTACTCTGGCTCCGGATCCCGAAAGTCGTCTTCGGACCGGAAATTGTCCGCTTCCCGCCATAGTCTGTTGTCACGTGGTTCCGACTTGTAAAATGGCGGCCATTCAAGAGTACATTTTGTGATCAGTTAAACTTTCCATCCATATAAAGGTTCTATCTGTATAATTTCTGTCGAAAAATACGACAATCAACGTTATAATTAGCTTTTTGATATACTTACAGTCAGAGATTACTCAGATAGGACAACATCGTGATTGCTTCAGTTCTTCAACTTAAAATAATTATTACCTGTAAGCTTTCTGGTATACTGCAGAGATCGGTGTTAGACGACTTTCCTATTTTGGTTTTGATTTCCAACAAGCTCTTTTCAAATTACAAGTGTGGAAGTAATCAAAGAGAAGCTTTTAATTGGCAGCTGATCTTTGTTTCCATGGTTATGCTGTTTGAAAGATTGATAGAAATAAAAAATTGAAATATAAAGTCGTCTTCATTGTATTGATGTATACGACGAAAAGTGTACAACCTTACTATTGATGACAAGGTTATCTAGTACAAATGTGCAGAACTGACGATTACCGTATTTGTTTTTCTATCAGAGTAATTTGTGTCAACAAGAATCGTATGCAGGCTGTTCTTTGCATTAGTAATGACTTAAAAGCGGTGCAGTGCCTAAAATTTGCAACATGAGCAGATTTCCAATCCAATGTAAAACGTCCAATATATATTTAAAAAATGATTGTGCAAAATTTTAGTAAAAACTCAATTCAAACTGAGGTTGTCTCGACCCAAAACTATTTGATTGTGATTCATGATTACAAGATAAATTATGCTAAGATTAATACTCGTTTACGCTGTAGACAACTGTTTACTTTTATATAATCAAGTGTACTGTACTGAAGTGTACATGTACTATGTACATATTTCATCCTAAGATTTTGTAAGGGGTGTACAAACAATATAATTTGTTACGTAGGATAAATAAATGTATTGAATTTAATAGTTTTAGAATTTAATTGTGTGAAGTAAAATATTATTCAAGATTTTCGCTGCAGATAAGCCCATTTTTTATGTTTAAATGTAAAACAAAAATGTTCAAAATTTAATTTTATACAGTGAAACCCTTAATAACGAATACATCGAAAGAATTCATCAAATGTCGTATTCTTCACTTCCTGATAATGGAATGTTGTAGATATTTAGTTTTTTAATTAAATGATTATATGGAACTCTCTAAAACTGTTCCCGCATATTCATGGCTATTTATTTATTTTCGCAAATACTGAAATTTACGTAATAAAGTATAAAACTCATTGAAAAATTGTCAAGACGACATTTAATAAATTCTTTCGATGTATTCGTTATTAAGGGTTTCACTGTAAAAAAATCTTGGATGGTTAATGCATCCTATCAGGACATAATCTAGCTAATTTTAGTATTTGTCAAAATCCAGAAAGCTCCTTGTGACAGTTAGCGTTTAAACTATTTTTAAGGCAATTTAAGACATGAAAAATAATGTGTTGGCACAAAACGTTATTTATTTGTGTATTTTGATTGGAAAACATTAATGACAAAGCTCTCAAATAAATATTGATAGTTTGACAGTTTGAAAGTAAGACGACATTTGAGAGAAAATCACAAATTTTTGCGTTTTATGTAAGCTTGTAATTGTAAATATTTCAAAATTAATTTTTATGTCTTAACATTGCGTTGAAATGGTTAAACACACTAAAGGTGAACTGTTGCAACTGATCCATGAGACCTGATCAAAAGTTTTATATCGGTTTGTTATCAAAAATTCGAAATATAAGGAAGACGATTTTACCGACTCAAATGCCGTAGCCTATTCTCAAGACGTGTTTATCTATTTCCTCCATGAAGCACCCACATGTCAAACCCCGCTCATTCGTTCCCCCCTCACCCCTCTACACATCCCAGCCCTCAGTCAGGTTAGGAGAGTTGAGCTAGTAACAGCTCCAACACAGGGAGCCTCTTGACTCCTTTATGATGATGATGCAGATACTCAGCTAGCAGCAGACGTGCTTACCCAAAGGGTTCCCAGTTTATCATGCATTCCAGAGACAACATAATCGCTCAATCGCATCATGATAAAACCACAGATGCCTACTAGGTTGGATAAGCCCTGTTGTTCCAGTTCCTGTTGATCTGCTCCACCAACATGAAGCTCTACATCACTCCCATGAAGTACCCTACGAACACTCCCTTTAAGGTTCAGATGAGGATTAGACTTCAGAGACGACCCGTACGGAAAGCATACTGTCTGATTTCTTAAATTCACAATTAAATGCAACTGTAATCTTGTTTCGTTTTTTGCAAATCATTAAATAAAAGAGATTTTAAGGTCTTCTTTACAGTCTCCTTCTTTGTGGTTAACCCTGTAGATGTTTTGTTTACCCATTTAACTGCAGTGACGTAATTGGATTGTTAAGAAACAGTAACAACTATCGGACATTTATCTTAAGCAAGTTTCTAAACACTGATCAGATCAAATACGTACACAAACCCTATCACCCCTACTTTTGAGTTACTTACATTAAACTTGCATCAGAGGTCTAACATGAGACCATATGAAGAATAATTCCATTGAATAAGTGCCTGCATAGGGTTGCATAGTTGTCTAGTTTCATGAATGCATATAAGTTCCAAACCTATAGATATAAAATTGTACTCTACTTAACTTATATAATAAATATAGAAGATCAACCATCATTCCGAGGAAACATTTTATATAAGAATATTAAGTTAGTACACAATTTATCAATGCAACTATAGCCAGGCTCGTAGCTAAGAATTTCAAAAGAGGGCCACTAATGGCATAGGTAAAAAAAATTTTGACCTGAAAAACTTCATAAGGGTCTAAATTAATGATTAATTTATTTTTAACTAATTACATATTTTAGATTATTAAGATAGAGTCTAAATTAATGATTAATTTATTTTTAACTAATTACATATTTTAGATTATTAAGATAGATATTTTGATTGGTTTGCATTATGTTGTCTTTCCCTTAACCCTATCTCTGCTGGGGTACTTGAAAACCAGGATACGCTGGGGGGGGGG